ACTCGCTTCACGAAAAATTATTAACACTATGATATCGCCGATTAATAAAGGCGCCGGCTTTGCCTAATTACAATGTTTCCACGCGCAAATAATCTTGTGCACATATAATATAATATAATATAATATAATATAATACAATACAATATAATATAATTTAATTTAATACGTAATATGATATAATGTTCGTTTGATATATAACTGACGGATTTCTCTCTCAAACGAGACTAATTTTTTAACGAGAATGCTGGATTTTGCTGCCTGGATAATATGCCTGATATATGCCTGGATATTGTGCCTGGAGTTTGCTGCCGTTGTGAAGTACTCTACAGCGCACGTACGACAGACTTCATTTTCGCGACAGCCGCCGCGCACGTGACCCCGCGCAGAACGGCATGGTCCTACCTGCCGCCATTATTAATTTGCCCAGTAAAGACCACGGGTTACCTGTGATAATTGCTTCATGTGACTTCATACGAGAATTTAATGGAAATATTTGGTATGGTTTATGGATGAGATGAGGAGACAGCGAGACTATACATATCACGTGGCGTCCATAAGACGATGGATGTGGGTACGTTTGATATGAATTAAATTAATCTTGAGACAGCGAGGTGCGCGGGGTGTTCGCGTGGCATTATTAGTATATTACTCGTAACATATACCAAGTGAAAGCGAGTGAACCAACCAAGTGAAAGCGAACCAAGTGAACCAAGTGAACCATATACCAACCAAGTGAAAGCGAGGACCAGGACGTTCAGTCTACGTGAGGCTTTCTACGCGGAATAAATAGATGGATTCCGTGTGGAATAAATCAAGGTATGGACAGTTTACATTCGTTAACAACATAATGTGCGCTCGTTCGACATGAAAGATTAAATTGGTATCATCATATGGTATCATCTGTGTATGTCCATACACAGTGCGCAGTCTGAGTATATCAGCTAGCTTTTGAGCACTTACCTATGTTGTTTTGTTAGATGTAAATGATTATTCTATATTGTATGCAGACGACACATGTAAATCTTTAAGATACATGTTTATCTGTAAATTACATCCAAGTGTTTTCACATTTTGACATTATAAAATTAATGCATAGGCCTAGGCCTACCTACATTTTATTATATTACATTCCATCCCTTTACTACTTCAATACTTTACTACGATGTGTTATTGCATGGCTTTATTACATTGCCTCTCGGCCTGTAACAAGGCTGAGAAATGAATTTAGGAAATCCCCATAAAGGCATCCATCGAGTGCTACTGGAACCGCGAAGGGCCGTGGGTAATTGAGACTTGTCTCTATAACTATACTAGTTTAACTATAACTATAACTATACTAGTTTAAAATGTGGAAATGTCGCGTTAACATGTATGTCGAATGAAATTTACAGACAATGCACCTGTAAATAGGCTTTCAGCCAACGTGACCTTGAAAATGTCATTGACCTTGTATCTGAGCGCGCACACTCGCGATGCGTCCCAGACGTAGGTACGTCAGACGCATACGTCCAAAACGCACCGTGTAAACTATGCGTACGATTACGTCATCAATCTCGACCTTGACGAGGTAATCGTTCCGCGGCAGCATCTCACTAATAAGCATGCAGCTAATAAGTGAGGCAGAGAAGGAAATTGCTGCTGCCCCACCGAAGCGCACTTTCGCTAAGATCCCTGATCGCACCGACTACTTTGACAAGGATCGAGAGTCCAATTCTACGGATGCTACGTGTGGCCGACCGGTTGACGAAGAATCTCAGCTTGTTCCACCGTGCGCCTCGTATTGCTTTCGTCAGAGTATGTTCCTCGATGAGTTCCACCAGCAGGACCACAACGACATTCCCGAATACCTTCACGTCGTGCTAGATAATACTCAAATATTCTTGAAATGTCTGTTTAACAGCGACGCAGTTCTTGTGCTTGGAAATCACATTGCCTACCACGTGCAACCTGGCTACGATGACACTTGCCACGCGGACCAGGAAATGGCGCTGATTCACCATTATAGACATGACTGTAAAATCTATCAGGAAAATAGGAAGAGAGAATGCGACAAAACCCTGAACAACACCATACAGGAAGACAGAACACTCTGGAAGTATCTTGACCCTGTGCGCCAGGCAGTTCATCAGATGGCGTTAACGCTAAACATGAATACCGAATGACGAATTTAAAACATTGACGCTAAGTCTGATTAAACAATGAATCGAATTACGTGATGATCTATGCATGCTATATATCGCATAGTTGTGTCTAACCCTATGGTCTAACCCTTACAGCATGTGTGTATAAACGGCTGATACGATAAATAACTCAAGGGCATGTCCCAACCTATACACTAACCGGCCACTTGAGATATATTCGCTAAATGCAGCAATAATGTTTGAGTTACTGAAGATGAATGAGCTTATTAACTTTACTTAACTTTACACGGTGGTTAGATTTGCATGCAAATATTGCGCACATGCCCAGAGCGCTAGCGTGTTGGCTTCACAGTTAGAGGTCAAAGGGTTAATTTATAATATGTCAGTAAAATGAATACTGAAGTGATAATCGCGATTACAAAACGAAATTTTTCACGTGTATTTTCCCCGTGCGCGCAACCAAGGTAACAGCATTCCTACGAGTGTGTGTTTTACATACGTAGTTAGTTGGCCAAATACGGGGCCGTAGCCTCTGGGGGGGGGGGCAAGGGGCAGCTGCCCCCTAGATTTTGGAGCAAAATGTAAAAATAAGTTTAGCTAAAAATCGTAAATAACCCTATAACGTGATTTTTTTGGTCACTTATCCGTGAAAGCCTTGTATCACACCCACCCCTACCATGCCTAGACATGCATGCACACACCTCTACACCGCCCGTCGCTCATCATTACACCGCCCGCTAGGAATTTGCTCAGCCTACGGCCCTGAAAGGAGAGGGAGAAAGAGAGAGAGAGAGGGGGAGAGAGGAGGGGAAGAGAGAGAGAGAGAGAGGGGGAGAGGAGGACGGGAAGAAAGAAAGAAAGAAGAGAGAGAGAGAGAGAGAGAGAGAGAGAGAGAGGAGGAGGAGAGAGAGAGAGAGAGGGGGGAGAGAGGCGGGAGAAAGAAGAGAAAGAGACGAGAGAGAGAGAGAGGAGGGGAAGGCGCGAGTGGGCGGTGTAGAGATAGAGTGTGAGAGAAACATACGGTGAACGTAAAGAAACGGGGAGCGAGAGCAGGGGAAAGAGCGAGAGGAGGAATAAGGCTCGCTTGCAGACCGCTCGGCGGGCTATATATGCGCGTATATAAGCCGCCGGTGTAATTATTCATTTCGCGCTCGGCAGTTCGGCGCCGACGAGACGCTAATTGCAATTTACTTGTAAATAAATGTTAACGGAGGGAGGGGGCAAAAACGCTACATCTCAGCACGCGCACGTGATCTATAGCTAGCTTGGTTAGGTGAGAGTCTGTTCTGACGACCTGCGTGCGATAGGCTGTGACCCGGGGGCGGTGCATTCATTCTGCCGCGCGTCTACGGCTACCGTACACATCGCGCTACACATGCGTTTCTGGTCGCGAGCGACGCAAGTATAGTGTTATATAGTGTATTATTGTCTATATAGTGGATTTTGCCCCTGCTCAAGTATGCCCTTAGTAAATTATGAAGTATTGGGTAAGTACGAATATACTTCCGTATGCATTCTTTCCGTGTCTTCATTAAATCACTCATCAACTCATGTCGCATTTTTTTAACTAGCTGTTACTGTTAGCAGAACACATGGAAAGAAGACAGTTTATGAGGCATCGTACTAACAATACATTCTGACCATGTCTTAATTCTGCCATTATATGTTATAACTGTCATGTTGTATTTGTTAACAGTTTGTTTCAATTGTTTGCATGAACTATAGATCACTATATTTTAGGGAATCTCCTAATTTAACTGTAATTGCCGATCGTCGCAATCAATTCTTACGATATGTTCATCATGCCACTCGACATTAGAAATCCTGTCTACACTCGAGTCTACTACATCGGCAATGCTAGGATTCTACGAACGACCGTGTTCACAACTTTGTCAATAGTTCGATATGCCAGTATTACGTCACCTCTAAAACGTACCTCTAAAACTATAGCCCTTCGCTCTGCCACACGCCTGTACCAGGAGTTCTGTATTATAGAATGTGCGACACATCTGCTCGTCATGTAAAGCATGATTATACTATATGTGCCATAGAAAGTGACTTAGTATAATCTCTCGTGCGCTCTCAATGAATATTCAACATATCGTCATCCTGCTACGATAATTGCCTAAGTCATTTTTACTACTTTAGAGAAAAACAAAAAAAATTGTTTTAAATTTAAACGAGATCATATTTATTCACAATTATTATTTACTTAATGCATGATAATGTTACAATTAACATACAATATACACCAACTGGTTGTGTGCATACAAAATGGCCGCAGGTGACTTAGGCAAAATGTCTAATGATCAGCGCGTGACTTATGCAGTTTGACACATGACTTGGGCATTATGTCTTACAGGAAATGTGACTTAGGCAATATTTCTATGATTACCAGTATGACCATGTAATGCAATTATATCATGAATAGATAGAATTATGCCTGTAAATGTGCTAGGTAGTTAAAAAAAAGATGAATACACTGTTCTGACTGACTTCATTGTCTGTATCAGGGGATTTTTCTATACAATAATGACAGGCGTGCACTAACATTGTACCGTAAGAATTGATTTATGCTTCCAAATGCGGTAAGGAGTCATAATACTGATGCACACACCGTGGCATGACTGACTTCATGGCCTGAAGATCATTGAATTTTCTGTTGGACAATGGCATCTGCCCCTCAAAGTGTCGCACCCATTCCAGTGGTTCATTGGGGATGCTTATCCTTTGGGGTAAGGTTACCCAATCTGATGTTTCATTGAAATCCAATTTATATTGGATTTCCCCTGAACTACAATAACACAACGCTCTTAGTTGGTGTACTGTAGCATCACCAGCTCTCTTTCCTGGTCTGATACTTTGGACATAACCACCATCCAACTTCATAATTTGGTCGTGGTAGACTTCAAAAACATGATATGGAGAGGGTCGAATACGCGCACTCTGAAATATAACCACATAATCATGAGGGGTAAAGATTTCACATACATCCAACTTCCTCTCAATTGTGCTATGCATGCTATCACACTCCATTTGGGTGTGGCCAGGAACAAGATATTTCTGAATAATTCTAATATCATGCTTCATTGCAAGATTTAAGAACGCATTGGTAACGGTTACGTTACGGTTCTGGTATCCACAACCATCACTCCAGATAATTATGGTTTTTATACCAGGGTTGTTGTGAATTACTCTGTCAAAGTGCTTCCACTGGAGGTAGGCAAATACTTCACTACCTAAGTTTCCTTCAGTTTCATCCCACTCATAGCAGCAACCCTCCTTGGTTTTCAGGTTCATCAGTGTAAAATTATGGACTTGCATCTTAGTCTTATAATACAGTTTGCTGGCCTTCGACTTGGGACAAAGGAGTACTGCCTGTAAGTCCATTGTCCACACTGACAGCTCATCATTAGCTGCCTCCTTGTCTTTTGATTTCTCTGCTCTAGCTCGATCTTTGGCTTGTATGTGTGCATCTAGGGTAGCCTGATCCAGATTACCATGTTTGGCGCTCACACACACATCACACTGGTCTTTTCTTGGGATAAAGACTGAAAAATGTTCTGCCTCAAACACTCTACTGAAAAGTTTCTCCCCGACGACACGAGCACCAGCTTCTGTTGCAGCTTGTTTGTATAAAGGATACAAATTTGCCTTTGTAGTGCCAGGATATAAAAACTTCTTGTTCTTGTATGCCGGAACACTACGGCAGTAATGCGATGGGAGGCTTGGTAGATTGGTCAGCCAGTTCTTCAAGAAGTTTAGGTCAGCCTCTCCCACTGGAACACATTTACCTGCAAAAAATTAAAGTGAATATATTTAGTTGACTTTATTTATGGAGCCCCTCCAGCCAGTCTACTTTTACTGGGCTCCCACGTTGGGAGAAACCATTTCAGGAACACATTTGATTGAATTTCATTGCATGTAGTTCAACCCGTACCCTGCGGGACATTAATACCATTGTATGAGGAAATATTCATAAATAATCTTTATGTCCAATTTGCGTTAGATTGATTCGTTTCCAGGAGATTTTTGCTCACTCGCAGGAGTGTGGGAGAGTGATACCGATTTCCGGGAGACTCCGGCGAGTCCTGGGAGACCTGGGACCCATAAAGAAATAAATTAACTTAATCCTACCAGTTTTGGGAGTCTTGGGCTGAAGTGGAGGTTTGTTATTCTCATCCTGCAACCATGACACAACGGTTCTTTGCGACAGACCAAGCGTTGAACTGAAACAGGATTTGCACACTGGAATTGATGTTGCATCACTCAGTTTTAAGTTGTAGGAGAAGGAAGTTTTTCGCCTTGATGCTAGATTCTTCTTCTGCTTTATATCAACCTGCAAGGAAAGAATCACAAACATAATTCAACACACCGACAACTGGCAGGCTACTTTTTAGTTTTAGTACACTATACAGTAAATGTGGTGTTAAATGTTAGTACTGTAGTAGTTTAAATTGAATATTTTATTATTTAGTAATACAGTACTATACCTTACCTTATTTACCAAAGTATGTACATTTGATCTACGTTCTTCCCAGGACATCATTGACCAGAATCTGTCAAAGATTCTTTGCCGCTGTTCCTCACTCAAGGACTGGCAACTTCGCAGATTTGATTTGCGGCAGAATTCAGATCGACAAGGGGGTCCCATTTTTGTTGCCGGTCTCTCCTTCCCTTTGCGATTCTTGAAAGCCTCCCCTTTTAAACGTTTAGCTTTAGTAATTGATGACTTCCATTTCGCTACCGCTGGACGTTTACGTCGCTTCGGCTTAGTACCTTCATCAGCATTATCATCTGCATCATCTGCTTCAATATCTTCATCAGCATTATCATCTGCTTCAATATCTTCATCAGCATTATCATCTGCATCAGCTGCTTCAATATCATCATCAGCATTATCATCTGCGTCAGCTGATTCAATATCATCATCAGCATTATCATCTGCGTCAGCTGATTCAGGCTCACTATCCAAGGTTGATTCACCATCAGTAGGAATGTAGTTTGTATCCACATCTGAGTTATCAAGTTCACTCCCTGAGAGAAAAAAACAAGATGATGTAGGCCTACTAATGATTGATAAACAAAATAGATCGTAATCCTCCTAAGGTATGTAAAAACAGATTTAGGCCTAGGCCTA